ATATGCAAATTTAACGCGAAGGAAGGAAATGTAAAACCTCCAGCATGCTCGCAACACTCTATGCCTGCAGCCTTGGCGAGTATCGAAAAGCGCTTAATGCTAGCAGGGACACACATAAGAAGGATGTCTGTCTAGCTCACTTTTTATTGTCTCTTACTTTTTTCACTTTCTTTAACGTGAAACAGAGTTGAATGATGCTTAATGTCTACTATTTAAGAACTGCAATAGTAATCATTTTAATGATTCTCGAATTAAAAAGAAGCAATTTTGAGGGCTCGGTATGCGACTTATCTATTAAGAGTTACACAACCTTTCCTCACAAATTTGGTTTTGATGTAATACATCCCCCTATTCAAAAGCGATTAAGGTCTGCTCCATTTTTTTTAATGGAGTTCATCAATCAAAAACTTCTACGTGGAGTGATATTCCTACGAAATAAGCAATTACAACCTCTACAACCGTAGTCGTCTAGGCTGATCCATCTGTCGCAATGGCACTTGGTTCCTCTGCTCCGCAGAATGAAAAGCATTCAGATAATGGCACCAAGTAATACATGTGCGGCGTTCAACGCTCAGCTGTGTAGTAACAAGCATTAGAGACTGTCTCTTTGTGGTATGCTCAACGTGTGCTCACATGTTTTGAAGCAGCACATGGCATTATGGATAGCCGTTTGTGGGCAGTATCCTTCGATGTGAAGCTGCATAGCGTAACCACATACACTAGTTTACCAGTGGCCAGTGCTCTACTGACTGCAGTGTAATCAAGTACACTATCTTTGCTCCTAATGCTCTATACGCTCCTTCCTTTTGAGAATTCGGGGTTCACTCAATAAAGCGGGACCTCTTTATGCAAAATCTGAGTGACATTTAAAGCTACCGCGTATACTTCATCCCTCCTGTTGCGATCTAAAATAAAGGCTCTGCATATGATGCATTTTGCAGGCATTCGGTTTCACTTAGCCTACAATATGTTAAGACCGAGCTTCTAAGATGATGGCATGAGTACCAGTAGGGAAACGAAACTTTAGGATACAATATATCATGTGTGGTTTACTGGGTTCAAGGAACGGAGAGTCGAGAGTGTCATTATATCACGGCCATCTTCTCATGACTTCAATTCTTTTGATGCTTTCGAAGCTGAAACTCCACCCAAGGATCAAAAAGATCCCTGGAAGGAAACTTTATTCATTCTCCTTCTCTTTTAATAACCAAGTACAAAGAGCAGCATCACATAGAAGCCCACATTAATAGCATTGGCATTTTAAATGGCTGAGCGATTAGTACAAGCTAAATGCGACGTCAACACGTCATTCTCAATGTCCATCTCCGGTTTTTTTCAAAATTCAAAGCTGACATACCTGATTAATATGCACTTTCTCCGTTGATATTGAGGTTGCAATGAGTAGTTAGTAAAAAGGTAATTTAAACGTCAGCCGACACGTATTTTGCCATGACTGGTAATTGCTGAGGTTTCTCTTGACAAAAGCGACGTATTTGCTGCAATTTTGAGGTCTGCCTCTTTTATTGAAACTCTTAATGGTTCAAAACGTCCCAATCTGGTGTTTTGTGCAAACTTTCCCCCAGCAATAATGAAAATCTCAATCGTGGTTTGAAAGACCCACGTCCAGCCAGCATTTGCACAGGTGTATTTTCATGCACCCGTTTTTAGCACCAGTCCCATCATCAAATAACTGCCGCTTTTCTCGTTTACTCAATAGTCACCCTGGCTTCGAGGTGATTGTTTACTGCAAGCTGATCAGCTATTGGTGGGACCTAGCTTTGCCCCAAATATTATGGAACCGCTTAGTCAGTTGCAATTAAATTTGTGCACAATCGGCAAAGTAGGAACTGGGAGCAAAGTCCTCACACCCGCTTTCCGGAGGAATGAATGGAGAAGATAGAGGGGGAATAGGGGTAGGTGGAGGCAGATCTGAGGAGGGTGATGTGCAACAGACTGACGTGGCAGAAAGGAGACAGGAAATGCTAAATGGGAATTCTAAGACGACGAATGACAAGGAGATTAGATATAGATGCGCCCATTATTTTAATTTGATTTGGTCCAGGGCATAAAATACTGAGCGATGTGATTGCCTGTACTTGATAGGGTAAATTAAAGGTGGATTTAGACAACGAAATATGAAAGATGAGAAGAAAAGAAAATGACCGAAAATAAGATTTGGGATGGGCAAGGTAAAGGTGGAAATAGAGTAAGTGAGGCATTCTGATTGTATTGCGTGTAGC